AACGTTTTGGATTTTAAATGAGGCACAGTTTGCCCTGGCTGGCGTGGCTCAGTGGGTTGAGCACCAATCTGCAAACCAAAAGGTTGCTGGTTTGATTCCCAGTCAGGGTACATGCCTGGGTTGCAGGCCAGATCCCCAGCTGAGGGTGAGTGAAAGAGAACTGATTGATGTTTCTCTTACACAGCCATTTTTCTCTTCCTGTCTGTCTCCCTCCCTTCCCCTCTAAACAAATAAATTAATTTTAAAAAATAAATAAAATGAGACAGAATTTGAATAAAAGATAGACGGATAGCAAAGGAGTCCATGGAAAAATGCTCAAAAGTTGTCAGTCATGGGGAAATGCAAATTAAAACCAGATGAGGTATCTGAGATACAGTTTCATACTAAGATGGCTATAATAAAAAAGACAGACAACAATAAGCATTGGTGAGGGTGTGGAGGGACTGGAATTCAGTTACAGTGATGGAGGAATGTCAAATGACAACCATTTTGGGAAAAGTTTGTCATTGATCACATAACCATTTAATCTTACCACTGGACTCCTAAGTATTTACCCAATGGAAACTAAAGCAGAGGTCCATACAAAGACTTGAACACAAATGTCTATACCAACTTTAGTTGTAGTGGCTTTATATGTAACAAGAACAACAGAACCCAGAAAAACCCAAACATCCATCAATAGGTAAATGGATAAACAATGATATATACACATATAATGGAACACTACTTAGCAACTAAAAGGGATGAGCCATTGATGCACAAAACTACATGGACAAATCTCAAAATAATCATGCTGAGTGAAAGAAAAGAGAAAAAGAGTAGATGCTGTATGATTGCATTTATATAAAAATCTATCAAATGCAAACTCATCTTTAGTGACAGAGCAGATCAGTGGCTGCCTGTGTATGGGGAACAAAGGGAAAGGCAGGGAGGGGCCGCAGGGCACCCGAAATATGTGCGCTGCCTCGATACTGGTGATGGTTTTGTGAGTGTGCACATTTATCAAAACATTAAATTACACACTCTGAATTTGCGAAGTTTATTGTGTGTCCATTATAACTTGATAAAGCTGTTAACATTTTAAAATGAGACACTGATATGTGGTATTTGTTCATTTACTCATTTATCTGCTTTTTCTTTCCTTGAGCAGAATTTGAGTGTCCAATGATGCCAGAAGATAAAGGAGAAATTAGATGGTCTGTCTGTAAGTCCAGGCCGGGAGCCAGGCAATGACAGTTCTGCATGACGTCCTTCTTGACTATACCTATAGGAAGCTAAGAAAATGTCAAGATCAGTGTGTGTTGGAGAAGGCTTTTCAGAGGGCCTTCAGCTTGAGCTGCATTCTGAAGGATAAGGAGATGGTTAGGGACAGTGAGGAAAGGGGTGTGTGTGGTGGTGATGGTGGCACTTTACGCAAGGCTTAGGGTGAGAGAATGGGTCCTGTGCAAGGAAAGCAAATTGTAGAGAAGAGGAGGGTTTTGAAACAAGGCAGGATATATAAGTAGGCACTGATCAATAAGAGCCTGGGAAACTGTGATCAGAAATGTGGCTTTGATATCTGAAGGCCTGGGGAGCCGGGGGGATTTTGAGGAAGGGAGAAAACATGGTCAGATAGCATGGTGATTAAGAACACAGGTAGGTTGAGAAATCAAAACTGACATATTGCCCTTAGTTGTCTATTGTTATGGTTAAGCAAGCATATTTAGACAGTCTGCAATTCCTGATAATAGCTTCTCCTAAATCATTTTCAGAGGTGTCCAGTTCTTTTCATCCCTCTTGCAATTGTCTTAGTTCTGATCCTCATTATTGCTTGGATTGTCACAATATCCTCGAACTTGTGGTCTCCTGTCTTCAGTCCTGCCTCTCTTTAAACTATTTGCCGCCTGCAGCTTAAATATTTTTCGCAATCTCAGGTCTGATCTCTTAGCTGAGAATCTGATCTTCAGCCTCCAGTCTTGCCCCTTAACTAGTACTATTTCTGTATTTCCAATAATAATAATCAAAGTAATAGTGCACTTACCAAGCATTTACTACGTGCTATTAACTTGTGCTAAGCACTTTACTTTTGTCTTACTAAATTCCCTAATACATTATCATTTTTATCAACACTTTACAGATGAGAAAACTGACTTTGTAGGGGAGGACAAAGTTTCCTCTACCCTCATATGTTCGGTGTCTGGGACACGTAAGTTACATTGACGAAAGACAGATCAGTGAGGGAAAAACCAGAATTTACATGTGCAACACACATACATGCAGGAGAATTTAGTGATGAGTAACTGAAAGGAGTGGTTAGAATTTGAGGCTTATACATCTAACTTAGTAGATAACAGGGAAGGGGAGAGAGGGCACATATGGGAATGACTTTTTGGAAAGATAAATGGAAAAAAAGACAAATTCTCCCTTAATAGATGGGAGATAGTCTGGTGAAGATGTCTGGTTGTGGTGTCTACTTTTCAAGTCAAGAAGATAAGAGTTGCTCTTGGAAAGGAGGATTTTGACAATTGAGTTCTTTTGGGAGTCCCTGCTGTAGGCAGATAAGCAATTTCAGGAACGCAACTGCCCTTGGGCTAAAAGAATTCTTATGTTCAAGTAGGAAGGTTTAATAATGTACCTGAGGTCATACATCTAATAAATATAAAAAGAAAACCAAACACCTGGCTGGTGTAGCTCAGTGGGTCGAGTGCAGGCTGCAAATCAAAAGATTGCTGGTTCGATTCCCAGTCAGAGCACATGCCTGGGTTGCAGGCCAGGTCCCCATAGAGGGCACAGGAGTAGCTACCACACATTAATATTTCTCTCCCTCTCTCCCTCCCTTCCCTCCTCTCTAAAAATAAACTAATTAAATTTAAAAACATTTAAAAACATTTAAACATAAATTTGAGTATGAAATAAAATTTTTTGACTTGCACATGCAAGAAAGATCTGTTTTCAGAGAACCAGTTTTCTGAACTAAAGTATAGGCTGATAATTAAAAGCAAAAACCATGTGGGGGAGGAACTTTCCTTTCCACTCAAGGTTCTTCATGAGACAGGTTAGCAAAAGGAAAAAACAACTTAATACATACATAAGAACGGGAACTTCACGTATATAACAGTCATACATAACTTCGCATACATAACAGACTTGGGTCTCTACCCAACATGCTCGGGTTCAGAGACAGAAAGGAAACATGGGCATATGAGACATGTGAGCTAGGGCTGAGGTAAGGGGCCGTGGAGATTTCAGAAGGCCACTGCAGGATAAGAACAGCAGACCTTTAGCAAATAGAAGTGTGCCTGACCTATAGATAGGTCAAAAGAAGTTATCTCTGTTAATCCCTTATGGACACAGTGTCTGATTCAAATTCTTCTAGGTAGTTAAGATGTTTTTCTTGAGCCTGTGGCTAATGTTACCTTTAGCTCACAACAATCTGCATACCACAGAGGCACCCCTTGGGGTGATTCATTCTGGGCTACCACAATCACAAGGTCGGAGACAGTTCCAATTGTTATCAGATGGTAAGTCTGCTTGGTTGCATTTAGGTCAATTTTGATAAAAGCAATTAGAAATTTCTTTCAATTAAAAAACAACAACATTTAACACCAAACAATACCAGAAAACGGAGGTGTCTGTTTTTCCAGCTTATCTGGGACTATAGGGATGTAAGGCCTTTTCTGAACTATGAGAATGTAAATTTCAGAAAAGACCGTTTGAGCCTCAGTGTAAAGAGTGGGTTAGAAGAAGGCAGGATTGGAGAGAGAGCCCAGTTAGAGGACTTCAGGCAAGCTCTCACTAGGCGGAAATAAGGCAGTGGTGGGCGAAGGGGGGTTGGAAAGAAGTGAGTCAAAGCTAAAGTCTAAAACTAGGAAGGGAAGGAAAGGATCTAGCAATCTCTTTAGCCTAGTTCCAAGTTTTGGATAAGGTGTCTTTACATTGTTAAATTCATCTTCAGTGGTGATCACCAAAATTTTTACTGGAAATGCTAGCTCTGCCTCCTCTCTGGCTTCTTGGGTGATAATTGGGATGTTCTTGCCATTCACTGGGATACAACACAAGCTGGTTAAAAACAAGTCTTAGACAAATTGATCTTGGATATGTATTAAAGTTTAGTGTTTGCAAGAGAATTGGTGAGTGTATGGAATTGAGGAGTTATAGTTGAGAAAACAAAGGTTTATGGAAGCAGTTAATTAAAACAGCTAGTACATTAATGACTATAGTTTTATTCACAGGCATAGAAACACCATACTAGTAATTACAGAGGAAATGAAAGCAGAATACTATGAAGTGCCAGGTGTGTAGCCTATCAGAAATACATATGCTATATTCATCTAAGAAGCTGATGGTGGGGATCCACCTTGCACTGTTCATGGAAATAAGAGTTTCATTTCTGTTTACCAAGTTTCAGTTTACGGAAGCAGCAGAAACCCCATCTCTAAAGAAGGCAGAAGCAGAGAACCCAAGCAACGAGCTTTGAACAGGCAGCTGCCAAACTACTATGTTAGAAGTGAAAACATGGTTTGCCCAGTTTTTGGTTTGAGACCATTTCCCCTGCTTTGGCACATGTGGAGCACGTTTTAACTCTGGTCAGGTGAGAGGGTGAGTTAATTTTGGAATATGCTGAATTGAGGGATCAGTGGGATATCTGAGTCTGGTTGGAAGATTAACATCTGGGTCCAGAAGTTGACTGATTTAAGTTGCAAAAAGGTTTAGATTGTACGTTTATTAGCATTAATTATAAAACGGAGATTTACATTATGATTTAGTTGCAGTTCAATGTAAGCATCATAAAGAGTGCATACTCTATGTTGCAAATAACTCTATACCCAGTGTGTAGAAGTGATTGGCACTAAGTGATATAAATGGTTTAATAGTGAATATTTAAAAAAACAGAACTTGACCTCTCCTTACAAGTGAGATGCGGGCGTCCTCTGGTTTCGCCCCTCCCTGCCCCTTTAAGAAAGCGCTGGAAAGGCTAGAGAAAGCGCTGCTGGGAAGGAGGGCGGAGTCTACTACTCGATCCTTCTGCTACCGGTTCTGCACCAGCCTCTGGCTTGGGAAGCTGGACCCACGCACAGTTGTAAAAAAAAAAAAAACAATGCACGAAAAGACTCGTGAGTGACAGACACACCCTGTGCTTTAGCTTCCCAGGGCGGTGTTAGCAAAGCCAGGTAAGGAGAAAGGAAGACTGTACCTGTCCCTTTAAGATCGATTCCTGCCCTCCTTGGGGGAAATACCAGGTCACAAACATTTTGTGGGATTTGCCACTTTATCCCGTCTTACTTCCTGATCAGTTAATAACTATAGTAAGTGTCGTCCACATAAGCACATATTCATAACCGATTGGCGCTGGGTGGGCGGGGCAGACGTCCGTCTGGAGGACAGAGTGTCCAAAGCAAGATCACCTAACAATTAGGCCAATCGGATGTCAGGCGGTTAGAGACCCGGGCTGTTCCTAGGGCACGAACGTGAGATAACTTAACACCCACTGAGGTGGCCTGACAGACATCATGTCCTGCTCAGGAGAGAGAAGGGAAGAAAGGGATACAGGGAGAGAAATGGGATGTGAGGGAGAAACATGATCGTTGCCTCTCCTGCCCGCCAGGGTGGGGAAGAAGTCTCCACCTGGCTGGTTACCCTGCAGTCAGCCGGCATCACTAATTTACCATCACCGTCTGCCTCCGGCTAGGCATTTGAGTTGTGGGCCCCTGCTCTAAACACTTCCGTGGGGCATTCTTAATACTTATTAAGACTTATTAGTATTTAATGAGACTGTTTAAAAACATTCAGGCAGAACAGACCAGAGGTCTCAAACAACTGTGTATAATTCATGTTTCTACTGCTGTTTCTCATTCCTACTTTTTTTCAAGGTTTTTCTTTTAGAACAAGTCTTTTCAACCCAGGGTGGTAAAGATGAGTCATCGCATATATTTATAGAAGGAGACTTGGGAGTTGATAGTCCTTCATTACAATGAAATCCACGAAGTTTTTTTTTTAAGGGGAAAGCCTGAATCTTGTTTACACAGATATTTTATGCCATGACAATCATTATTAAAACGGAGTGTGGTCAGTCAGTATAATCCGTGTGCCTCTGCCCACAGAAAATTATGGTTTGTTAGCCTCCGCAACTCGGGACTTGACTGCACAAAGGCAACAACTGTGTTTGCCTGTTAATCGCTCTATCCCAGCATAATCTAAGCTTTCCAGACTTTTCTTTTGTTCACAGATGCCAAGCACCATGCCTGCTTAAAGGTAAGTGATTAAATGTATAAAAGAACTTTAAAGGTACACCTTATTTTCCGTAACAAGCATTGTTTCTGAAGATTTCTCTCAAAATCAAATGCTTGTATATTTGTTGCTTGAAATTATTATAAAAGGATTCTGTTGTGAAAAGGCATGCTTTTAAAAGATTGGATTTTCCTAAATGGATGCACCAGTGCTTTGTTCTAAAATGAATTTGTTCTTGTGGATCATCTGCTACAGAGCTTATACTGTAATATTTTCTTACCATGTAACAGAATTTAGAAGTGTTATGAGCCTTGGAATTTTCAGCACTGTTTCTGTTTTTAGAGATTTAGAAATTCCACTTGACACCACATACTTTGCCTATAAGGAGCAGCTCTTAACAACAGCAGTGACAGAACCTGTGTTTTGGAAAAGGATCGATGGCTTTGAGCCAAGGTTGGAGAGCATATGCGCTGCTTCCAGGGAGTCACTGTGGTGTTTATCTGAAGGCTCTGAGAAGCAGTGGTCTTTCCTCATTTCCCTGGGGCCACTGCCCCTGGAGAAGCACTGGAAGCTCTTTGGACCCTGAGATGAAAGCGTTCCTGGAGGAGAACACTGAAGTCACCAGCAGTGGCAGTCTCACCCCTGAAATCCGGTTGCGGCTTTTGACCCCCAGATGCAAGTTCTGGTGGGAAAGAGCTGACCTGTGGCCTCACAGCGATCCCTACTGGGCAATCTACTGGCCAGGAGGCCAAGCCCTATCTAGGTACTGCCCTAACCGAAATGGAAACCCATAAGGATAGTACTCTTTTCAGCACCTTCCAGCTCTGCATTCTCCCTGCCCCTCACAAAGAAACAGAGAAAAACCCAACATTCCTCTTGTTTTCTTAATTTAGAGCAGTTTAAGCATTTAACAAATTTTTTTGGTTTGCTTTGTTACATAGTTTTACTCCAAGCTTATCAAGGTATTTATCCCAATACAGATCATTCCCCAAGAGAAATCCTAGGGTCAGCTGTCAAGGCTGGAGATAGCTATACATAGGCAGATCTTACACTGTTCTCAGGTTCATGGTTCATAATGTATGGCCAGTGCAGAGCTCCAGGATGAAACCTACAGCCCCAGTCCTCAGCTCTCCTGGTTTAATCCTGTAAATGCTGCTCCTTAAGCCTCTCATGCCATCCATCATTGCCTCTTCTCAGTTTCCCAAAGAACAAGAGATGTGAGTGAGTGAATGGGCTCAAGGCAATTTTCTTCTCTAGTGGTTTATTGACAGCTCAGGTGAATGCATGACTTGAATCTGCATTTTTGAGCTTCCTCTCTCCAGCTTTCCACACTGCAAAGGTCTTTAGGATGTTTTCTCACACATTCGCACTATGCTTTTTATTAAAACACAGCTGCTGAAACAAAGGCAGGAACTCGCAGCTTTCGATCTAGCCTTTGCTCTTAAACTGGTAAATGATTTCCTGTTTGTGCTTTGAGATTACAGAACTATGAAACGAAAAGGATAAGGACTTCTCTTTCACAGGAGTTAATGCTGTGTATAGTTTAAGAATATGTTAACTGATGTGAGAGAGAAAAACAGTGATTGGTTGCCTCCCATATGTACTCCCACCAGGGATCGAACCTGCAATCTTTTGATGTAGAGGACAGTGTTCCAACCAGCTGGGCCACACTGGCTAGGGCTGTGTAATTTTACATGTAAAATAAATGCAAACATAGAACGTTTTGGAGAATACTGAGGACTGGGAAGCTTTTCAGGTGCTATCAAACAATATTAGTTTTCTGACTTGTGTTGCCAAATTTTCAAGCTTTTCTGCTCACATCGTATTTTAAAAGTACTGACATTATAAGTGACTGTTTTCTATGAAAGTTACTATTTATCAACTCCAAACAGACAATCAAATTTCTTAAGAGACTGCCTGAATCAGAGAATAGGAACTGGTGATCCACAAATGTATGTTGTTTGGCTTTTACTTATTGTGATGGGAAAAAAAAGTTTCTGCCTGGGCGTTTTACAGTGTGATAACCCTGCTTAAACTCTGACTCTGGGCATTTTTATAAGAACATGAGTTTAGGAAGCCTGTTTTAAGTTTGCCTTTCCCAGGGCACCCTTTAAAATAACCACTTAGAGTTAAGCCCTAGAAGAGTTGGCGACCTCTGCCCCAAGTCACCTGGAACAGAGGACTGCCCTTCCCCCAGCCCATTGTGCCTTCTTGCTGCTGGGATCTGCAGGTAATAAATCTTGTGATTCTGTTTCCTTTGTGGGTGTTTTGAAACTGTGCCTTCAATCAAAATGCCTTCATGGTTTTCACCTTCCTAAAGTGGAAGCTTGCACGCAGAAGGAGCTTGCTAGCTACCTGCTGTTTCGGTGTAGGTGGCTTGTGCGCCTTCATTTAGCAGGCCCTCCCTCACCTGCATGTTCTTAGTTCAACACACCAGCTCCGGTGTCTCAGCGCACTTGCAAACTTAAAAAAAATCAGTTGCCAACAAAAACATGCATTGATTTGAGAAACAGGAATAATCTCTGATAACATGGGATTTCTGTGTGGCAACAATTAGCGCAAGAGGGCTAGCACCTGTCCCTTTAGACATGGCATGTACACCACTACCTTGCTATAGTCCTGCTCTTCTTTATTATTCTAATACTAAGATCAAGTGTCAGTTGAAATTCATTATTTCAGTGTTTCCCCACTCATCTTCACTTGTTTGGTAACTACTTAGCCGTGGTCTAAATTCTTCGGTTGAACTGGACTTTGATAGTACCTTACTAGAGAGGTCATTACAAGACAATTCAAGCAGTTGGTAAAACCCTCCGATGAATAATCGAAAGGAGATGATGGGCCCTGGCTCAGTGGGTCAGGTGGTTGGAGCATCATCCTGTACACCAGAAAGGTTGTGGGTTCCATCTCCGGTCAGGGCACATACTCAGGTTGCAGGTTTGATCCCAGGTTGGGGTGCATATGGGAGGCAGCTCATGGATGCTTCTCTCTCAGTATCGCATCAGTGTTTCTCCTTCTCTCTCCCTTCCTTGCTCCCTAAAATCAATAAATTTATACTTTGGGTGAGGATTAAAAGGAAAAAGAGGGAGATTGTGGATTTTGGATCTGGTGTACTAAGTCCTGATTATAGTAGTATTTCGTCAGTCTGTATTCTTGGTTCTTGGAAGTTTCTGGATCATAGTAAGTGCTCAATACTTTTGAACAGTGGACTTGAACAGCCTGATCAGTCACTAGTGTGGAACAGCTCTTCACACCTGCTGAAGAGAAATCAAATGACTGGATCCTCTGTCTGCCACTTTGGTCCAGCTTTCAAGGTCAACATTTTGTCTCACTCTAGTCAGGCAGAACTCGCTAAGGTTGGACCAGGTTCTTCTGCTAAGTTTCACTATTTCTTTGTATTTTTTTGGACAGCTCTTACTGAGTTTCTCCCATCTCTTAGATAATGTTTTCCCCTTTCTTTCTAATTTAGGTATCTTTTGGATAATCCCGATGTTGTCAGAGGAAAATCTGTGTTGGATCTCGGGAGTGGATGTGGAGCTACAGCTATCGCTGCTAAGATGAGTGGGGCATCCAGGGTCTTGGCCAACGACATAGACCCCAGTAAGGATTTCATATTTAAAACTATGTAAATCTCATCTTTTTTCTCTTCCAGCATAAGTATCTACAAATGCCTCAACATGATAGCTTGTACCAGGTGCATTTTCTGATACGATATTGTGAACTTATGGTCAGCAGGACATTATCTGTGGGAATTCTGGGAGGCATAAGTTGACAGTGCATTTTCCCCCAGGATTTGTATTTGTGTGTCAGCTATCTCTGAGTGATAGCAACCCGAGAACACTTACTGCTACTTCCTGGGCTAGGAATTTATTGAAATATTTGGTTGAGTTTATTTGATTCCAAACCCAAGTGAGGATGGGTCTGTGTCTTTGAGGGTGATTTTGTTCCATTAGAAGCCAAGCTGCGACAGGTAAGTTTTAATTTTATCTGATTTCCTCCCAGCCCTCCCTTTCACAGAGGATCTAGTCCTTGAAGATCCTTATACAGGGGACCCAGTTTTAACTTACCACATTGCTCAAGCACGAGGCTTGTTTCCCTGTCTCCTGTAACAAATCAACCCTTGTGGTTATTGAGATCGGCAAATGTTCCTTCAAACCCCAACATTTCCAAGTATATTGTTTGTTTTGCATCTGGGATATCCATTCATATATTTGAAAATCTCAGTAAATAACTTATATTGGCATACTCTTTAGGCTTCCTTACCTAAAAACATCTTTCAACAAAAAAGGGAGGAAACATTGTTAGGGGATTTTCTGAATTATTGATACTTAAATTAATAATAAGGAATTAAAACAGCCTAGTATATACCCATTCATTACGTGCTTTTTTAAAGTTGCAGGAATGGCTATCACGCTAAATTGTGAATTGAACCAACTGAATCCTTTCCCCATTTTAACCAAAAATGTTTTGGATTTGGAACAAGATAAGTGGGACCTTATTGTGCTTGGAGATATGTTTTATGATGAAGACCTTGCAGACAGTCTGCATCGATGGCTGAGGGGCTGCTTTTGGACCCACAGAACTGAAGTACTGATTGGTGACCCTGGCCGACCCCAGTTCAGAGGACACAGCATTCAGCATCAGCTGCACAAAGTGATAGAATATTCACTTCCAGAACCTACGAGGCAGGAAAACAATGGACTGACAACAAGTACAGTATGGGAATTCCGGCCCTGAGTTATCCAACTGCTTCCAAGGATGGATGTAGCTATGTTTGGGTTTAACCCTAAAAAACTCTCCAGTTTGAAGAATACAGTTCCTATTAAAGGGCAAATGTTATTTCCGAAATATGAAGGTTTAAAGTTTTGTCAGCTTTTGTCATGTAACTAGTTGTGCATTATGCCAAATATATAATTTTGTGTCAGTAATTTTTTCTAGTTTTACTGCTCTAGGAATATAATTATAGAAGGCAATACTGCCAGCAACGTGTAATTTAAGTTGTGGAGAGAATCTGATATTGTAGCAGTCTGTTTCTGGACTTAAGGACAACTATATGATGTGTTATTTAATTAAATGAACAAAAAGAAAAATATAGAAGAATATAGTATTTAGTACATAATAGGGCCTAAATTTGACAACCACGGATAAAAAAAGATGTTAAAATACCCAAGACTTCCAGCCAAGATGGAGGCATAGGTGGAAATACTGTACCTCCTTGCACAATCAAATTTAAGGACAACAAAAATTTAGAAATAAAAACACAACCAAAACAGACAGAAAATTGAACTGTACCAAAGTACGACAACAACAAACCATTCATTCAGACCGGTAAGAGGGGTGGAGTCAGCAGCTGGTGGAGAGGAGTCCATGCAGGAAGAGGTGGCGGTTGGCAGAACCGGGTGCAGGGACTAATGGAGCAAACCCAGTGAGGCGCGCAAGGCAGCTGGCTGACTGTGGTCACACATATGTGCACAGATAAACCAGGCAAAAAAATAGTCAGTGAGACAGACCACACAACCCAGGACCCCAGCAATGGGAAATAAAGCCTAAAAGCACCGACTAGAAAAATTTGTACACAAGCCCACACACCTGGGAACCAGCACCAGAAGGGCCCAATTTGCTTGTGGAAAGTGGTAGAGGGAACCGAAATCTGAGAGAGAGCAGAAAAAAATGTCATTGCTCCCTCTCTGACCCCACCCCCACATACAGCGTCGCAACCCAGCAACTGGGTTGACCTGCCCAGATGAACACCTAAGCCTTTGCCCCTCATACATAACAGGTATGAATGGACCAACATGTTATGGCTCAAGCAGAAGAACAGCTCAAAGCCCCAGAGCCAATACTTCTAAGCAACAATGAGATAGCCAACCTATCAGATGCACAGTTCAAAACACTGGTGATCAGGATGCTCACAGAACTGGTTGATTTTAGTCACAAATTAGATGAAAAAATGAAGGCTATACTAAGTGAAATGAAGCAAAATGCACAGGGAACCAATAGTGATGGAAACAAAACTGGAACTAAAATCAATGGAGTGGACCAGAAGGAAGGAAGAAACAACCAAACAGAAATGAATGAAGAAACAAGAATTCGAAAAAATTAGGAGAGGCTTAGGAACCTCCAGAACATCTTTAAACGTTCCAACATCCGAATAATAGGGGTACCAGAAGAGGAAGAGCAACAAGTGGAAAAGTTATTTGAACAAATAATAAAGAACTTCCCCAATCTGGCGAAGGAAATAGACTTCCAGGAAGTCCAGGAAGCTTAGAAAGTCCCAAAGAAGTTGGACCCAAGAAGGAACACACCAAGGCACATCATAATTACAGTAGCCAAGATTAAAATGAAGGAGAGAATTCTAGAAACAGTAAGAGATAAGGGGACAGTCACCTACAAAAAAGTTCCTATCAGACTGTCAGCAGATTTCTCAAAAGAGACCTTACAGGCAAGAAGGGGCTGGAAAGAACTGTTCCAAGTCATGAAATCCAAAGACCTACATCTAAGATTGCTCTATCCAGCAAAGCTATCATTTAGAATGGAAGGGCAGATAAAACGTTTCTCAGATTAAGGTCAAGTTCAAAGAGTTCATCATCACCAAGCCCTTATTATATGAAATGTTAAAGGGACTTATCTAAGAAAAAGAAAATAAAGAAAAAACAGTGAAAGGACAGCAAACTCACAGTTATTAACAACCACACCTAAAACAAAAGCAAACTAAGCAGACTGCTAGATTAGAAGTGGAGCCACAGAAATGGAGATCACAGGGAGGGTTAGCAACAGGGGAGTGGGAGGAGGAGAGTGGGGGCAAAGGTACAGAGAATAAACATACACAGTAGTGAGAAAATAGGGGGAGGGAAAGAATAGTGTGGGAAATGTAGAAGCTAAAGAACTTGTGACACATGGACATGAACTAAGTGGGGGGGGATGTGGAGGGACGGGGTATGCAGGGTGGAGGGGAATGAAGGGGGGAAATGGGACAACTGTAATGGCATAATAAATAAAATATATTTTTTAAGATTTCTCTACCTACTCTGTACTAACAACTTATGCCTCTTAGAAATTGGTTATGACCCCGCTACATGTCCCAGGCTTTGAGGATCCTATGTATCAATAAAAAACACTATGATATAAGTGAGCAACAATGTGAAGAAGAATGTGTGTAGTATTCCACTGTGGAAAAAAGATGTACATGTATATTGTGGAAAAGAATGAAGACAGGGAAAATACAAAATGGAGTCACTTTAACCAAGCTGCTAAATTATTAACATTATAAAGTTTGAGGCATAAGGAAATGATTCTTTTCCTTGTCTTAACTTCCCAGGGAACTTAAACTTTTGAACTTTTCAGGCCCATGTCAATCCCCAGATACTTATTTACCTTCCAGTAACCCCCTGACTACCTGCTAAAGGACTCGGGATGTGCCCAGGCCTCCTGGTACCCATCCTCAAGACTCCCTGGCATCCATCATCCAGACCTCCGACATTGGCTGGTAACTGCCCTGGACCAATCCTACGGCTGAGAATGCAGCGCTGATTATTCTCAAGGATGTGGCTTTTACTATAAAAACCCTTAACTTTTCTTCTTTGGAATACTTCTGGGTTTTTGCCTAGCTGCATTTCCAGTTTGCAAATTCTAAGACCCTTGAATAAATCTTTGTCATTTTTTTTAGCAAAGCCTCCAGAATCTTTTTGAGTCTGTATGTGTGTGTATAAAATACATATGTGCTTGCAGTATACATAGAATACCCCTGGAAAGATAAATTAGAAACTCATAATGGTGGTTGTCTTCTGAGAGGACACCAGATAGCCGGTGGACTGGGGTGGGAGGGAGACGTAGTTTTTACCTTTGGGTCTTGTAATTTTGTACTAATTTTGTGTTCTGTACTTTCTATTTTTTAATTTGAAACTTCTGTAAACACCACCGCTGTATATGTTACAAGTTAAGTAAAAAAATGTAGCTTGGTAGTGCATTGTGTATCTATCTATCTATTTCCACACTATAAACATACCACATTTATAAAGTAATGAATAGTAAGGACAAAAATAGAGATGAATAATCCTTCCTCTAAACAGTATAAGAAATTTACCATTCCATACTTTCCTTGTTTTTTCCTATATCAGAATTAAAATAAGAAATCTTTATGAAAGTACCACTGAGACAGGCTCCTGGCAGAAGAAATGCTGAATTTGGGGATAGTTTAAGCATAGGCTACTTCAGAGGGTTTCGTGATTGTAGAAGAGCAATACATTTCATTTGAAAAGTAATACCTGTGCTTTTTGCTTCACAATGTGGAACCAGCAGAGCTTCAGGATACAACCTCTGTAAGGATAGGTTTTTGTATTTACTCATTCTTACACAGTGCTGAATGCACTATTTGAGGGTGAAAGTTCATAGATGGAGAGCAGTATTTTGGAAATTTGATATTGTGGTATATAAAGATTACTTAGTTTTTCACACGTCCAAAATACATTTCTCAGACATATTTGGTCTTCATCCACAATTCCTGGCTCATATTGCTTAAATCTGGAATTTCCTGGAATAGGATCAATGATGCCTCTTTTATTTTAAATTTGGTCTCTTAGTCTCAGTTCCTGAAAATAGAGGCATAAAGATGAAAGGGTGTCTTGTTATCATAACTGAGTTTATGTAATGAGTGTGACTTTGGCAAAGCACCTGAGGATGGGGGCTGGTTGCCAAGAACCAGCCTTGAATAAAGGGTTGGAGCTTTCAGTCCCACACCTATTTTCTGGGGAGGTGTGAGCAGCTAGAGGTTGAACCAATCACCCATAATCAATGAATAAATCAATCTTGCCAAGCAATGAGTCCTCCATAAAAATCCCAAGGCCCTGGATGGGTGCCTCAGTTGCTTGAAGTGTTGTCCCATATACCCAAAGGTTGGGGATTTGATCCCTGGTCACAGCACATACCTGGGTTGCAGATTTGATTCCTGGGTGCTCACAGGAGGCAACTGATCTACGTTTCTCACGGTATGTTTCTTTCTCTCTCTCCCTTCCTCTTTCTCTCTAATGTCAATAAATATATCCTCAGGTGAGGATTAAAAATAAAAATAATAAAAACCACAGGGAGGGGATTCAGAGGGCTTCTGGAAGCCTTCCAACCTGTCACCACTCTGGGCGCAAGCTCCGAGAGGAGAGAAGGCTCCTTTATGACCTCTCCCTATGTGTCTCTTCATCGGGCTGTTGATTCCTAGCCTTCACTATTCTTTGTAACAAACTGGTAATCTAGTGAGTAAACAGGTTTTCCTGAGTTCTGTGAGTCCTAGGAAGTTAATCCAACCCAAGGAAGGGGTCCTGGGAACCTCCAATTTGTAGCCAGTTGGTCAGAAGCACAGGTAACAACTGGCAAGAGGTGTCTAAAGTGTATGTGCGGGGGGAGGGCAGCAGGGGGCAGTCTTGTAGCAGTGAACCCTTAACCTGTGGACTGTTTCTGTCTCTAGTATATAGAATAGAATCTGATTCTGTCTGCCGGCCCCCCACCAACTACATGTTGGAATTGGGTCTGAGAACCCTTTTCAGAAAAAGGGGCCATAAAAATCAGTAGAATAAGTGACTAGGCAAGGGCCTCAGTAACATTTCATATGCTGAAGTGCTAAGGGATATTGATGTCATGAATTACAACATTAAATATGGTATTTCTTTGTTTCGTTGAAATACTAAATTCGGTAAAGAATTTACAGGCCTTTGTTCACCTTTGCTTTTGGCCAATGGGCATTGAAACATATCAGGAAGGTAGGAACCAGAAAATAGCTAGAAAGGTAATTATGCTTTTAGAAATACCTTCACTTAGAATTTATCCATATTGGTGCATTTCTTTTACAAAAGCTCAAGTATCTAGGTAGGAAAAGGAAATCTCCATGGAAAACAGATTATTTACAAACGTTGTTATTTAAGAAACAAACACTGCCCTCACCCCCACCACCCCAAACCCATCAGAAGGCATGCTAGCATTACCATTCAAAAACAAAATGACTCATCAAACAAACACAGAATAATAACACTATCAAAGCGTTTAAAAGCCTGGTAAATCACAAACCACACTGTGTGTTGGAATGTCAGTCTCCAAGACCACCATTTCCCGATAGTATGGAGAGCACGGCTTCAATAAGCATCAGTAAACAGTCCACGTCACTTGCTTTAATTTGCTTGGGCCTCTTAACTGCTCCAAGACTTCTCGGGAATGATCTACAAAAGGAAACAGTGACAATACATTAATTCACAGTAATCAGATATATTTCATGTGTCCTCATGCATAAACTGGGGATGATGATAACTATTATATCTCATAGGATTGTTTAAAGGATTAAATGAGATGATAGTACACAACTCCTGAGAGAGGGGAAAGGGGTTGGGTGGAGGTGAGCAAAGGGAGAAAAAGCAGGGACAACTGTAATAGCATAAACAGTAAAATACAATGAAAAAGTATAATATACAACTAAAAATACAATTAATTAATGGTGACCCTTGCTACTACTAGCTGCAGTGCACATATCATAGTAATATTTTTTTTTAATTTATTTACTTATTTATTTTTAGAGAGATGGGAAGGGAGGGAGAAAGGGGAAATATTGATATGTGGAAGAAACAATGATTGGTTGCCTCTCGCATGCCCCCAACTGGGAATGGCTTGCAACCCAGGCATGTGCCCTAATAAGGAATTGAACCTGTGACCTTTCCCTTTGTAGAATGACTCCCAACCCATGGAGCCACACCATTCAGGACCATGGTAACACCTTAAAACACACACACACACACATTGCTTTGTAATTCCACCAAAGAGTAATGCAGTAATTTCATTATCAACCTGTGTATGGCTTTTCTTACAGGCTCCTGTGAGGAAATAGGTGACACACTAAAAGGAGGCGTTTGAACAGGGTTTGAGGAAACATCTATTTACAAAGGAGTGAGCAGGATTAAAGAAAGCCAACAGGTACGGTAAAGCACCTTGGGAAGCTGCAACACGTTAAAAAGTGTCAGAGGAGGGAGCAGTTACTACAACAGAACAACGTGAAATCTATTACATAGGAAATTTAGATTAAAGACAGGTTTCTAATAGGTTGAAAGTAAAAGGATGGACAGATATATCATGTAAACAGCAACTATAATAAAGCTAGAGTGGCTATACTAATACTAGAGGAAATAGCACTTCCCCGCACTAACTTGACACCAAACCCAGACAAAGACACCATACACACACACACACACCCCAGACCAGCATCTCTTATCAATATGCACTGAAAAATTTTCAGCACAACTCTAGCAAACCAAATCTAGCAACATATAAAAAAGATTATATGCCATGATCAACCAGAACTTATCTTGGGAATGCAAGACTGATTTAACATCTGAAAATCAATTCATATTAACATATTGCATTAGTTCCCTATTGCTGCTGTAATAAATTACCACCACCTCAATGGCTCAAAACAACATAAATTGATTATTGTGGAGTTCTGGAGTCGGAATTCTGACATGGGTCTCGCTGGGCTAAAATCAGGTTTAGCAGGGCAGCATTCCTTCTTGGAGGCTCTGGGGGAGAACCCACCTCCTTGACTTTTCCAGCTTCTAGAGGCCACCACGTTCCTTGCCTTTCCCCATATTCAAAGTGAACAGCACTGGACAGCACCCTTCTCACACTCTCATCTCTAGCGTTCTCCTTCTGTCTCCCTCCTGCGCTTTTAAAGACTCTTATGATTATATTAGGCCCCTGGATAATCAGGAATAATTCCCCGATTTTAAGGTCAACTGATAAGCAACTTTTAAATTCCTTTTAAATCTGCAACCTTATATAGCATAACACAGACACAGGTTCTGGGCATCACAACACAGACGTCTCTGGGTAGGGGCATTATTCTGCCTATGACATATAGCATATCAATAAAATCAAAGACAAAAAACACATAGTCACCTCAATACTCATAGAACAAGCATTCAACAAAAACCAATCCTCATGATAAAACCATTTAACAAACTAGAAATAGAAGGGAACTTCTTCGACCTGACAAAGGGCCCCTATAAAAACCCCCACAGCTAATAATCATACTTAATGGTGAAACACCAATTGTTTTCCCCCCTAAGTAAAGAAACAAGACAAGGATGTCTGCTCTTGCCACTTCTATTCAACATTGGACTGGAGGTTTCAGCCATGGAAATTAGGGAAGAAAAAGAAATCAGAGGCATTCATGTTGGAAAGGAAGAAGTAAAACTAAATTTGTAGATTATTAATATTGTGTATAATATGTCCTAAGGAATCCTCTAAAAAATTAGAAATAAGAAACATGTTCAGCAAGGTTGCAGGGTAGAGGATCAATATACAAAAATCAAATGTATTCCCAATGAAGATGGTAGCACAGGTAAACACAACTTGCCTTCTTTCACAATCACATCAAAATTACAACCAAGCTATAGAACAACCATCATTCAGAACCATAAAGAATGAACTGAATAGAATCCTACAACTATATAATTAAAGAAACCACACCGAGACTGGTAGGAGCGGCAGAGATGGGGAATGGGCTGGTCCCACACCCATGTTTGGCAGATAAAAATCATCGGGAGGGATATCTCAGGAGCAAGGGCTCCCAGACCCACACTAAGCTCCACAGCCCAGGGTTCCAGAACCATGCAGAAAAGTTCCCGTAACTTCTGGCTGTAAAAACCAGTAGGGATTGAGGCTGTGGAAGACAGAAAGTGCTGGAGTCTCAGGCAGTTCCTCTCAAAGGGTCCATGCACAGACTTACTCACATTCACTCCCTCTGAACTCCAGCACAGGAGCAGCAGGTTGAAAGGCATCAGAGACATATAGGGAGGAACTGAATTGTTCAGCATCAGGGCAATAGCTATGGAGCAGCTTTTTCCCAGACAGAAATGCTGGCAGAGGCCATTGTTCTTTTTGTGAGCCCTCCCCGCACAGAACCACAAAGCGGGCAGGTGGGCTCCATATCTGAGACTCCATCGACCTAGCTCATGCTGTTTCCCCACCCTGGTGATTTCCTGAGGCCCTGCCCCACCCAACTACTGGGCCCACCCCAGCTGTTTCCTGTGGCTTTTCCATATGAATGGCTTGTCTTGGACCACACTTCAGATTTTCCTAAATTCCCTCAAACAAGTAGCCTCTGGCTTCAGCAAGCCCTGTACCTCTTGCTAAGTTGCCCAGGTGCAGCACTAGCAACAGCCAGCCCTGGTTCACAGCTTGGCCTCACCTGGGTACCTCCAAGCCCAGTACCAGTAGCTGCCATCTGCAGACTGCTTTGTAGTTTATGCTGTGTGACCCTGAACAGAATACAACTGGTGGCTGATCTTAGATGTGCCAACAGCACTCAAGGCTCAACTATAACAGGAGGATGTACACAGTTCACATGGTGGCCACACCCTGAATACCCTGCTTGGGTAATAGGGGAGCCTGTGCCACTGGCCTCTGCAGGACACCTACTACATTAGGCTACTCTACCAAGCATGGGAGACATAGGAGCTTTACCTAATACCTAAAACAAACACAGGGAGGCTGCCAAAATGAGAAGACAAGAGACATGACCTAGATGAAAGAACAGATCACAATACCAGAAAAAGAACTAAACAAAATGGAGACAAGCCATCTATGAGAGGCAGAGCTCAAAACATTGGTTATAAGGATGTTCAAGGAACTTAGTGAGAACCTCAACAGCATAAAAAAGATCTAGTCAAAAATGAAGGATATACTAATTAAAATGAACAATTTACAGGGGATCAACAGTACAGTGGATGAAGCCAAGAATCGAATCAGTGATTTAGAATGTAAAGAAGCAAAAACAACTAATCAGAATAGAAAGAAGGAAAAAGAATCCAAAAAACTGAGGATAGTATCAGGAGACTCTGGGACAACTTCAAGCATCCCAACATTCACATCATGGGGGTGCTGGAAGGAGGATAGAGAAGATAGAGAAATTAAAAACCTGTTTGAAAAAATAATGACAGAAAACGTGCCTAACTTGGTGAAAGAAATAGACATACAAGTCCAGGAAGTGCAGAGAGTCTCAAACAAGATGAAGCTAAAGTGGCCCACACCAAGACACATCATAATTAAAATGCCAAGGGTTAAAGACAAAGAGAGAATCTTACAAGCAGCAGAAGAAAAGCAGTTAGTTACCTACAGGGGAGTTCCTATAAGACTGCCAGCTGTTTCTCAAAAGAAGCTTTGAAGTCTAAAAGGGGTTGGCAAGAAATATTCAAAGTGATGAAAAGCTGGGACCTACAACCAAGATTATTCAACACAGCAAAGCTCTCATTTAGAATCAAAGGGCAGATAAAGAGCTTCCTAGATGAGCAAAAGCGAAAGGAGTTTATCACCACCAAACCAGTATTATATGAAATAGTAAAGGGGTCTTTTTTAATGGGAAAAAAGATAAAAACTATGAACAATAAAATGGCAATAAGTACATATCTATCAACAATTGAATCTGAAAAACAAAATAAACAAGCAGAACAGAAACAAAATCATAGATACAGAGAATGTTTGGATGGTTGCCAGATGGGAGGGGATTTCGGTGGATGAGTGAAAAAACTGAAGGGATTAACCAGTACAACTAGGTAGCTATAAAATAGTCATGAGGATGTAAAGTACTGTGTAGGGAACAGTGTAGCCAGGAAACAGATATGTGTGACCCATGGACATGGAAACCAGTGTGGGGATTGCCTGAGGGGTGGGGGAAGGGCTGGGCAGCAATGTGCGACAAGGGCAACTTAATAGTATAAACAATAAAATATAATTTTAAAAATGAAATGCTTCTATACACCATCAATGAATAGTCGAAAAATGAAATTAAGAAAATAATTTCATTTATATTATCACAAAGAAAAAAAATACTTGGGAATAAATTTGACAAGTGAAAAACTTACACTCTAAAAACTATAAAATAATGTTGAAATTAAAGATCTAAATAAATGGAAAGACATCCATATGCATAGATCAGAAGACTTAATATTAAGATGGCACTATTCCCCAAATTTACAGATTCAATGTGATCCCTACCAAAATCTCCTTTAAAAAAAAGAAATTGACAAGATGACCCTAATATTTATATGGGAATTCAAATGACCCAGAAGAATCAATACAATTTTGAAAAAGAACAAAATTGGAAAAGAGTTTCATTTTAGTTGGTGCTTCTAGGATTATTTTGGCATTTTTACTCGTTAGTTGGAATATAGTT